ACCAGGCCCTGGGCCAGAAGGAGGGATTATGGTCGTGAATGAGGCTGGCCACCATGGCCCCTAGTCTCATGGAACTCACATTTTTTTTTTGTTTGTTTGTTTTTTGAACTCACATTTTATGGGAGCGACAAACAAACCAGCTCGATGGCAGAGACGTGGTGTGTCTGTAGTGCCCTAGTCTGAGAGCAACAGAAGTGGAGAGGGAGACTCACAGGAGGGTTCAGGCCCTATCTGAGGAGGTGGTCTTTTAGCCAAGATAAGAAGATGAGCAGGCAAGAGAAAAGTAAGGGGAGGATGTTCGTGGCATTGGTAGCAGTAAGTGCAAAGGCCCTGAGGCCAGAGAGACTTGGCCTACTCTGGATGGTCTGAGGGCTTGTGAGCAGGTGGGGAAAATGGAACAGAAGTTTATCTGGGACATGATGGCCTACGCAGGCATGTGTACAGTATCAGGATGGGGAGAGCCACATGGGCATTTTAAAAAAATGAGGTCACAGAGGTCAAGGCTAGAGCCTGGTGTGGGGAGGAGTCAGCTTTAAAGCTGTGGAGGAGGTGGCCCCAAAAGACCCACGCACTGCATGCTGTCTTGTGTCAGGTAATGATCTTGGCAGATCTCACTGAGCTCTGCGTATGTAGGTTACAAGCAACACAGTTCCCATCTGCGCAGCCAGCTTGGCCTCCAGCTGTGTCTCCTCCTAGCCTCCCTCCCCCCACCATACATGCCCATTCTTACACTAGTCAAAAGAGAAAAGAATTCCTTTCCTTACATGGATCCTGATTCTGGAACCCCACAGACACTTCAGAGGCAGGGTGCCCTTGCTGATGGGATCACAGTGGGAGAAGGGTGAGAGGAATACTCAAGTGCCCGAGGCTGGGACCACCAGAGGCTAGAAGGGACCAGGCTGAGATGGGAGCTCCTGTGTGCACAGGGGTAGGTGGGGTGAAGGCGAGGGCTGAGGGGACAGGCAGGTGGTGAGGGAGGAGAATCCTCACTGGTTGGACTATGGAACTCAAGCCCACTTAGTAGGCTGAGACAATGTGCCGGTGAGGACAGCTGTCCCCTGGTGACATAGACTTTAGCACCCCTATTATTCCCAGTTCAGGTTCTGCCAAGAGCAACCTGTGTATATTTCCCCCTAATGATCTTCCTATTAATATCAAGATGGGGTTTAGTTGGTCATGGACCCCCACAAATGTCAATGTCCCAAGTCCCACAGGAGACAGGGCAACTGTTTGTTGACTTGGAGTCCCTCTGTCAGCCCTACAGTCACTTCCTCCTGAATGAGGCCATGAGTTCCTAAGTCAGGGACTGCACCTAATTTGCCTTCGTTCCCCTAGACCTGGATGCACAGTGTGAGCTGATTGGACTACCCAGCATAGAAGTGTCTCCCAGGCTTTGTCACAGACACACAGGCCTCCCCGGCGACATGGGTTTTGTGGCAGGAAGACTTGAGGCAGAAGGCTGGAGAGCATTTCTCCTGGGCTGGAGGCTCCTTCTCTGGAAGGGAGCTGCATCCTTGGTTTCCCTGGGCTGCAGATGACCTCCTAGGGCCCAGCTCTGCAGTCACACTAGTTTGCCCACTCTAGGCTGCCCACTCTACCTGCCAGCAGGTTCCCACTGCTTCATGGGGTCGTGGCTCGTGAGGCTCTTCAAAGACTTGGGGGCGCTGGACTCATCCCGCTCTGTCTTCACAAAGTCTGGAAAGAAAGGGCCAGGAAAGGGCACATGAGGGCCTGGTCCCTGAGTTTGGGCCAGGGATAGCAAAGTGGACATGAATAACAGCTGTATGGGGAGGTGGGTTAAGCAAGACTCTGAGGCCTTGGAGGGGTGCAGTGATTGGTTAGTTATGCCTATGAGAGTCAGAATGTGTGGCCCAGAGTTGTTATTTCATGTGACATGTCCAGCTTGTTGGTCTCAGCAAGGGACAAAACAGGAAAATACTTCTTGTCAGATCAGAATAAAGCAAACCTTAACAGGTAGTTCCAAAGGGCACCGGTACTCAAAGCCAATCTGTTCATGGGGACAGAGCAGGATGGAACCTGTTTTGTTACACAGACCCCCA